GATCCAACCAGCGACATACGTCCCGATTTGTACTTTTAGTTGTACTTCTAGAAGGGTCAAAGTAACCAAGTTCAATTCAATGCCACAAAAACCCAGACATTGGTTTTCTCCAAAAAGATAAATGTCTCCGAACAGGATATAATAATGTCAAGTCAGACAATTCTGCTTTCTGCTTCGATAAGTTTGTTGAGGGTTGAACTCGACATCAATATGTCTTGGCACAATCATGTCGCTAGAATTGCAAAGGCTGCTTCTCAAAAGCTTGTAACACTGTTCCGAACCAGAAAACTGTACATACCTCAGCAACTTTTAATGCTTTATGAACCTGAGATCAGACCTTCTTTGAGTATTGTTCTAATGTATGGAGCTCTGCCCCCAAACATACTGTTGCTGGATTCCATCCAGAAAAGACCCATCCGCCTGATTGGAGACGCGAACATCACGTGGAACGTTGACAGCCTGGAACATCGAAGAAAGGTTGTAGATTCGTCTCTCTTTTATAGATACTTTTACGGAAGGTGTTAAATTGGCTTGGCACATTTGATTCCAGCAGCCACAGTCCGTCGTGGTACGCGACGTAACAATCATCCAGTTAAACTGCGGTCAAAAAATCAACAAAATACTGTCAAATGGAAAGAACACACATAAAACAATGATGTTAACTGAATTCATAAATAATGAACCCAGAAAAATATACTTCAAAATCACAAAATCGCCTACGTAAGTAATCTGCTAGAAAGACTAGCCCACATCTTTGAAAACGGAAACACACAAATAGCTTTCAAAAATGTAAATACTCTCCCGAAAGTATTTTCCAAGCTCTGAACCTTCACTCCATTGGAATGGCAATCCCAAGGATAAAAAAGATATCCAATTATATTATGGCGATATTAGGAAATCAAACAAACGATTCTTTATTGGCTAATGTAATATCGTATATATAACATGGGATATAATAATATGTACCTGTATAATATATGGATCTCAACCGAAAAAATGTACTAATGATGCTTTATTGTCACTTCTGTACGAAGTTTATAATTAAACAATATCAACAAACATCATTCACCTGTAGCAGTGTTTTGTGATTTGTCCAAAGTATTTGGACAGTGTGAATCTCAGAGTAATAATAAAACATAGAGATGCCATGCCTATACCAATACAATACATGTATTTTGAAACGGGTATCGTACTCTTCTTTTCTGTACAACTTATGGGCTAGGGGTGTGGCGATTAATGAGGGGTTATGGAGAGTTTGTTTACATTTGAAATAAGTTGGACCATAAAACAGTGGCGGTTGGTTTAGTTGATAATCGGAGGGATATTATATATTTATAAAATAAATCATTTCAGGTGAAAATGTATTCTGTTTAAATAGTTCCTACAGGAAATCTGATTTTCATTAATAATTATGGAAATGAGGCCAGTTTTTCTACCACCCACTAGATTTTTATTCATGAATGGCTTTATAATAAAGTGCGTGGTTCACTGGGTTGAAATTAAATTATTTCAAATGAACTGATTAATAACAATGATAAATGTTAATTTCAACAGGAACTATTTGAACAGAATACATTTTCACCTGAAATGATTTATTTTATAAATATATAATATTCCTCCGATTATCAACTAAACCAACCGCCACTATTTTATGTTTCAACTTACTTCCCATAAACAAACAAAGTTATGCTGTCTTCAATGTAAGGATGGAAAAGGCCTCTCTATTGTCTTTTGTTACTCTGAGGTGTGAGTCATGAAATACTGCTTAGAAATTTGTTTCATTAAGACATTGACGGAATATGTCATAAGTAGTTTGAGTCATATCTTTCCAGTAGAAGCCTAATCATTGAAACTTCAACTTCATTATCAGCTGTCGATAGTATGAACAGTAGAGGTCCTCAGGGGTCTATCCAGATCCTATCATCTTTCTTCAGTATATAAATGATCTGACATCTTTGACATCTCAGAATAAAGAAAGCCATGTTGCAGATGGCACTACTTTACTGAGGCACAATAAAAATACCTCAAACCTCCACAGAATCGAATCTTTGATTATTAGGAGTATCACTAATCTTCCAATATCTCTCAATGAAAGTGTTCTCTGAAGAAGACTCAACAATAGGTATCAATCCTGAGTTAATATTGAAGTCAAACCGACTGATAAGTTACATTTGCTACTACATCAACTCACAATTCAAACAATTGTGGATTTGCCTTTTACATGGAGAACTTATATGTTTTTGTTGCATGTAGACATCTGATTTTATTATTTTATCATAAATATACATATTTACACATATATATATACATAGTGAATGCATGTATACATGTTTATTGAATTATTTATACAAGCTTTGTCAATAATATTCCTTCTTCTGACAATGAAGTCTATTCATCAGTATTCAAATCATTTTTTGGCAATAACCCAAATGATCTAAGGTAGCTTCCATCTCAAAATTTCACATTTTCATTGTGATTATTAATGTACCATTTCAGGTTAGATTTCGGGTTAAATTAAAACTGTTTTGACTCATCTTTGATTCACTCTCAACCAGTTCATCCATGAAAATTACCTCTTCACCTTGTACAGCCTTGTTTTCACCTTTAAAGACTTCAACTTCTGAGATAAGACAATTCAATATTTTATAAAGCCGTTAGTTTTGTTATTACACCCTGTTTTGAATGATATAGAAAATACAAGAAATGTATTTAATCCTTTCCATAAAACGCCAGTCGCAATTAGATTTTAAAGTATGAAATCGTTGACCACATCAGTTTTCTACCAACATATTAAAGTTTAAAAAAAACAGTTTTCTTCTTAAGTTCCACCCTGTAGCTATTGTACACATCTATTACGGTGATGTTTTAATGCACACCCGATTACAGAAGATTACTAAACGATAGGGTTGTCCCCCATTTTAATAGACTAATGCCTCGATGATATCACAATGCTTTTAAACGGGGTGTAAATTTACTTGCTGTCTGTGAATCACGTCGTGTTTTAGCTGGTTAAATGATCGATGAATGTCAGGAATGTGTCTTGAGGGTCTCTACTGAAAGATTTGATTGACGAGGTCACACTTCCTTCAAGAACAAAGTGCGTTTGTTTCGTTTCTGGAGCTTTTTTTAACTTTTAACGATTTAAGTTGGGCTCGATTATATTGATTTGATAAACAGCTATCTTTGTCGCTTACTTCTAAAATATATTGTGGGGTGTAACCAAGAAGCTAAGTCAGTCGAACATTTTCTGTGAAAGTATTTATAATCTCGTTTTCACGAGTTCCATCCATCGTTATAACCAGCTAAACCATCGTCCATTCTATGTAGTTTAACTCTTGTCGTAACGTTTGATGTTTGTGTCTCAATTTTTTTCAGGACTTCTGCGCATCCATAATTATCCGCCACGAGTGGATTTTTCTGCGTTTCATACACTGCTCAACAAGTGAATAATAGATATAAACTGTTCAACAGTAAAACAAATTCAATGGGAAATTAAATGGGTGTTTGGTAGTAATTTAGGATATCATGAAACGCTTTGAATTTTTCATTCAAATTGTTCCACTTTTTTACTCGCTCCTTGTCTGTTTGGTTCAAATTTTGCAACCGATTTTGAAATACGTTACCGAGGAGCTAAAGGGTCTTCAACTTCAATCATAGCTTAGAACTGGATAAAATGCAATATTTTTGCATACTGTATAAATAATATAAAACGAATAAAGTAGAACAAAGTTTGAAAAGCGCGACAGAGAGTTTCAAATGAATGAAAAGAATTAGTTTGCTTGTCCAACCCAGCCAATCCTGTTGAGATGCAACAACATCTAAACATACATGTATGCAGGTGATTATTCTCAACTAAATAAAGATCAATACGTATTTCATTTTTACAAGTAAGTACCACTGCAAACGTGTTCTCCTTGAAGAGCATTGCACAAATAGATGCCATATTTGCTTGAAGGTGGTACCCTGCCTGTATCGAAACAAAATTCTGCTAGTTGGGTTTATCTAAGCTTGGTGCCAATGTATGAATATAATAGCGATTAAAATATTGATGATAACAATATACCATACCATTAATCAATAAAATACTTCTTAGAAAATTGGGATGAGTGTAAAAGAGTTAGAACTCTTTTAACGTGTGTAACGATTTGTAACTATTGTATTGCACTAGAAATGATATATGAACTGTTATCAGTTTTCTCAACAGCAGCTGTCGCTACTCTCCTTACTGCATGTATCTCACGTTTGTCATTCTAAATATTACTAGTATTTTTAAAGTTATTGCGCTGGGCTGGGCGAGTTTTTAGGTCTTTTGCATTCCTTGGTCAGGTACCGTCCGGCACATCTGACGCAGGCTGGAACTGCTTTACAGTTGCGTTGCGTGTGACCGAACTTTTGGCATCTGTAACATTGCCCTGCTCGGTTTCTCGGCTTCTGTGTTTCGGCGCTTACACGCACGTTTTGAATTTCGGTGATATCATATATTTTGTTTTGGCTCCTTGGAACTAAAACAAGCACGAACGATATCGGTACCTTGTTAGCTTTACTTAGGCGGGCTAAGGAAAGGATCTCAAATCCTTTGCCCTGGAGTTCGGTCTTGATGTTGTCACACTCTATGGACTCCGGGACTCCGCGAAAAACTACTCTGAGTGGTTTTTCGCTTTTCATTGCATAGGTGTGGTAGGGTATTTTCTCTTGATCTAGGATCCGAGTAATTCTCCTATAATTATCTGTATTTTTAAGATGGATTTTAATTCCATCTGTTGTGTTCACCGCCCGCAATATGGAGATGTTTTGCGCAGCAATCTTGTTAAAAGCTTTCCACTTTTCTTTACATGAAAACGTTGCCGATTATTTATAGAGGCAATTCGCGGCGCACCCCAAAACTATCTGCTACGATTCGATCATGCGCACTGTGGTTTATTACCGAAAAGTGGGGGTAGTCGGACTACTGGGTCTTTTGCTGGGAATGTTGACGATTGGCAACCTGGCAACACTTTTCAAATTATACCCGGTTATTTGTCAAATGTCAAGGGGTTAACCAAACAAAAACTGTTTTGTTTTTTGTTGTGTTTATACTAGAAAAAACCTGAGTCTTTTTTAGCTTGTTGAAAAAGAAAAGTTACATCATGTCAGGGGGAGGAATGCTTTACGGAGGAGATGAAATCGGTGCTTTGGTGTTCGACCCCGGACATCATTCTTTGCGAGTGGGCTATGCCCAAGAAGACACTCCAAAAGCCGAAATCCCAGCAGTCGTTGGAGTTGCCCCTGATACCTTAAAATTGGAGCCCGAAGTTAAACCCGATGACAGTAATGTTTCTTCGAACAGTGCTTGTGAGTATTCTTTGAAAATGTCGACTCTTGCCCACCTTTGTATTTTGGTTTACTACAAACAACTGTGCCTCAGTGCAGTGCATAAATATCTGATGTATTTTCTAAGAAAAACAGTTTTCGCATAACATTCTAAACATCTTCTGACAATCCTACATGAAACTTTGCAATTGATTGCCTATTTCCTTGTCTAATACCACGAGGGATATTGACTCACATCTGTGAAACATTTGTCTAAGTTTCCTTACCACCCTTATAATGTCCCAATTTAACAATCTAAAAACAATAATACAGTTAATTTAATCACTTATATCAACTTCTAGCGCTCAAGTATTACATTGATACGACATATTTACACACACCAAAACCTAGTATGGAGCTTCACAGTTACATGAAAGACGGAATGATCGAAAATTGGGACATGTTCGAAAAAATATTGGACTATTCCTATGAAAAAGTAAATGCTCCAAACTAATTACATTTCACTTTGAATATTGAAATTTTTCTTGTAGATTATTCAGTCAGAATCTCAATTCCACCCTGTCCTGTTCTCGGAATCCCCTTGGAACCAGCGCCAGAAAAGGGAAAAGTTGACAGAATTATTGTTTGAAAAATACAAAGTACCTGCATTCTTCTTGGTTAAAAATGCAGCTTTGGCAGCATTTGCTAATGGAAGAGCTACTGCATTAGTTATTGATAGTGGTGAGTTGAAAAACTAATGAAATTTTGTTTGCAATTTTTTGCGTCTTCACAATGTGAATATATCGAATATTGTATGTATTGGAAAAAAAATGACTTCCTACCTACTTCTCTATTTTTATATTGAAAATCTGCTGTTTCATTCATTCAATTAAAAATTAAATGAATACCTTCGCAAATTGAGGTGTCTTCATTGTCTTCATCAAACTTCTATAAGGAATGAAATTCAATCTTGAGAACCTACAATGTTGTTCATCACATTTATATTTTATTTTAATATCAACAGGAGCTACACATACTTCAGCCGTACCTGTCCTCGATGGTTACGTCATTTCAAATGCAGTTGTCAAATCGCCCTTGGGTGGAGATTACCTCATCCTCAGAGCGAAAGAACTGCTAGAAGGTATGGGAATCGAATTGACGCCTGCTGCTATGATCGCAGCCAAAGAAGCAGTCAGGGATAAAGAGAAACCAAAATGTACCAAAAAGAAGTTCTCTTTCCAACCGACCAACTCATGGATGAATTACATGGTGAAAAAAACTGTTCAGGACTTCCAACAGACTGTTCTGCAGGTAAATAAGGCAGTTGACTTTGCAGTGTTCACACAGACGAATTTTCACAAGCATACAAGTTTGACCAACGTAACTATTTATCACAACTGTATATTATAAGAATTAGGCCAGTCTCTTGCTTCTGATTTCATTAATAATCGCAATGTATACTGTCTAACATTACAAAAGTTAACCTCTCTTGTATTAGGTTTCTGAATATCCTTTCGACGAAAAGGCTGCGGCTACAATTCCTACCGTCCATTATGAATTCCCATCTGGTTACCACCAAGATTTTGGATCTGAACGGTTCAAGCTAGCCGAGGGCCTGTTTGATCACCCCATGTTAGGAGCAGGCTACATAAGTACGATTTTTCATTAATTGGCCTCAATCGGTACCTTCCAGCAGATGTGGGTGTCTATGCAGGAGTATCAGGAGTGTGGGAAAGCCCAAATAGACCGAAAGTGTCCTTAAACCATTTTTTTATATTGTAATTGTTAACAAACTTTCTATCAATTCCTCTATGATGTAATGATTTTGTGCAGAATATTTTTACATATTGAAAGTGAATCTAATAAAGTAGATTTTTATTTGGGGGTTTTCTGAAAGGGTAATACCAGATACCTTCGGGAAATTGAAATTTTGACATACTTCAAATATTTCGTTAATACGGTCACAGTTTACTATTCTGTGGTCCGGTATCCGGAATTTAGCCACGGCAAACTCTAAATATGTCGCCTAATTGATACTTTATTCATATCTAATTTAGATAAATTACCAAATATTGTCTCCAACAAAAAAGATTATTTTGACCCATCAATAATTTCGAATACATTGGATTAAAAGCTAGGCTAATAGACCATATTTCACTTTACAAGAGAGGAGTTATTTGGTGTTGTATGACTGACGACTCTTTTTAATGACTACTAAAAATTCAATTTCAGAGTTATTTCACAATGTGTATTCGTAGCTTCAGTACGAAGGGACTATAATGATTTCGTTGAACGTTAAAAGAAATGGATTTATAACAATTTGACGCTATATTTTAGAGTTCGTAATAAATTCGATATCAAGTATATTATAATTTGAAATGTATCTATGTATGGTCTAATGGCCTCTAGTTTTGGTGGTCCAAAGCATTTTAGCAACTGTAATCATCTCAACCAACGTTCTCTCTTCTTTTTACGATATGAGTGGAGAAATCAACGGAAGATCTAATATTTCTGGTGGCCAATCTAAGAAAATAACCATACTGAAACAAACAATATTCACGTAAAACTGGCTGTACATATTTCAGGTGCTTCATGATTGGCAACACCGATATTTGACATACTATTGAGAAAAAGATGTGATTTTGATGGAGAAATTTCACCTCGTGAAAATCTTTGTAATGTCAAGTCCCGATAACTGATGAAGAATATCAATTTCATATGCCTCAGACACAGTATTTTGTATAGAAATACTGTGCCTCAGATAAAGATTTTTATGAGCAAAACAATAAATAGTTTTCTGAAACGCGGCAAAATTTAAAATTTTTATTCGTCTTAATATTATATCAAATATCAATGTTGCTAACATAGAGAGTATAACATACATACTCACTCAAAATATACCTTTAGTTGCTGATGATGGAACGCCTGAAACATGTGCAATCATTTTAACGTGAATATTCTCAATTGAAAAAAACGATCTAGTATATTGTTCATATACCATCTATATCGTGTTTCAACTGAAAACAAAATAGGGTATGAGAGTTCAATAAATAAAAATCACTACCAATGATGGCGCCGATCATACGATAATCAGCTGATCGAAACACCTGAATGTGAAGCTTGGATTATATTCATTGTTCTCGAGGTCTACTATATTTTGAGTCGTTTATTTCATTTTTGAGCATACTGTATTTTGGTGAGATTATGATAAATATGAGAAAATGATAAAATAATAAAACAAACAAGAAACACAAGAAACTGCAACTACAACGAACTTCCCTAGAGAACGTATGAAAAAGGATGCATTTCATGCTATGATGTTGGCTACATTTAATGTCAAATTTTTTGCGATTTGCGAACTGTCAAATATAGTGTCAACCGTCATTATTCCATTTGATGTTTATCGAAAATTCACAAATTCCAACAGCAAATTTGCTAATCAATTCTCTGCTATTTTATAATTGATCTGGTTGAAAATGGTGCCAAAATTTATTTGTTAATTTTTCTCATTGAAATGCCCATTATATAACATCAAATTTATCATCTTTTGTCAAGTGATTTACGTTCTGGGATCTGTCAATATTTTTAGTTTCCATATTTTTTTTCAATAATCAAACAGTCTTGCAGCGTTTGCGATGACTTATCTTGTAAAAGACATCAACAAACTAAAAGTGTAACTCCTTGGAAATGCATTCATATCAGCTCTGATCTTAATGAAGCTATTGAACATGTAAGAAATTTTGAAAATGGATTTTTATTTATATTAAACATATCCATGATCCTCTTGCATATGAAGCTTTCATGAAAGAGTACTTTCCAAACAAATTTAGAAAGTTTTCAGAAGAGAGGTGTATATATGAAAATGTTCCTCCCTTTTGATAGAAAGGAGTCAACAAGGCGTTTAAAATTTGAAACCAATGGTATAGTTCAACGAATCTACTCTGCGAATAGAAAAAGCAAATTAGGGGTTCCTCAATGATCCAATTTGGGTACTCTGCATTAATATAATAAAGTATTGTATTCTATCACTTTATCAATGGTTTGTCTTACTTGATAAGAGCCAACGATGTTATGATTTCCTTGGCTAATGCAACAAAGTTCACAAACAGGATGTTAGACTGGTCTGCTCGTCACAATATTTGCCTGAACATTGATAAAACAATTGGTTGGATGGTGTGTTTTTTAAAACACAACATCTGAGTCAACAGAAATACTTCTACGATGAAAACTTAAGCTAGTCGTTGGTTGTCTTTGTATAGTTTTTATGTTACGACATCAATGTTATTTGTAATTGTCTTTTGTATTTTTATGACCTAGCCTGTGTACATATTGTACCAAAATGGTCAAATGAATTACTACCATTATTTAATTAACATAGAATAATATTTTCCAGTTTTACGAGACAATAATATCAAACTTCATTTCGTCCTGGTATGGGCAATTCACTGAAGACGATGACTTTTTGAATGAACTCCGACACTGCTTTCGCTTCTCAACTGCTACGATAATCAACAGGTTTTTCGAGTTGGATGTTGGCAGAGTAATAGCGGATAAGCTGATTCCTTGCGCTGTTAGGCATGTTGATGATTATCTGTATATGCAGCAAATCGGGAAGCTGAAAAATGTGAGATTCAACGAAGTAGTATTGGAATACTTGGGCAAGAGATTACATGCCGCTGCCACTAATAGAAATAATGAATTGGGGTACTTGCAGCAAATGGTTTCCTCACTTCTACCAAACGTTTTACCTGATTCGTACCTGAAATGCAGGTAATTTTCATTATTTAGCATTATTTGAAAGCCGGGGTCCAAACACAACACATTTATGATTCAACGCCAGACATCACTGTTTCGACTCTGTCTCACTAAGACTTGTCCTTCAAGATCAGTTGAGTCCAACAACATATTTGTGGTTAATGTCGAAGCGTGGCTTTACAACTGACTGACTTGGGGAGTGTCATTCATTTTTGATATTCCTGGATTCAGTTCTTTATCTATCCCGTAGATGGCGACTTTATAATAGGAGATTTCATCAACCTTTCTTATTTAGCATTATGTTATAAATAAATTCCAAAGAAATTTGTCACCTTTTTATAACTGTGATACCTAGCAACAAGATATGGGATGTTCCACAAAGTCACCTCTCACCAAACAAGAATATTTTTTTTTTATGAAACAGTATAGTAAAACTTCAACTATCCAGATCACTTTTAGGAAACTAAAATATTAGTTTAGATTTTCAAATTATATGGAGTTTTCTTTCTGAGAATTGAACAATTGCTGTTTCAACAATTTAATTTTACATGTCCATGCTTTCATTCAAAAATAATCCTTCTTCATTCAGTCGTAACAAACACGGCCATCTGAAAAAAATTAAAAAGGAACAAGCTCATTGTCTCCTCTTTTTGGGGAATGTTATGAATGTAATCTTCAGTTGTTCTTGGAGAAAAACTGTTCTTATGGAATAGATAATGATGTGAATTATACCCTGTAAAAAATAACGCCGGCCGCCGCTGGTCGTGGTAAATCGATTGTGACTTGACCAAGATCGCGCTTAACTCGAATTGCGCCCCGCGTTTGTTCTAGATGTCGCGTCGATTTGAAAGACTTCCCTATCGGCTTCCAGAGACTTTCATTACTAAATACAAACACTACCAACAGGCAGATCGGGGAAGTCTAGTTGATAGTGCGGTACGAAGTGATCTAATAAGGCGATAGATATTTGAGTATTCGTCTCAAGATTCTGTTAAAGTGTTATATTGTCAGTGTAGTAGTGAAACAAAGTCGAGTTTAATTGTACAGTGTAGTCAATTGTCAAACCCACGGGGCAAACGTAACATTTGGTGTCAGAAGTGGGATTCAAACCCACGCCCACAAAGTGGAAATGTTACGTTTTACCCGTGGGTTTGACAATAATTGACTTCAATGTATAATCAAACTCAACTTCATTTCACTACTTCACTGAGAATACAACACAAATACTTTAACTGAAACTTGAGACATACTCAAATGTCTATCGTCTTATTAGATTACTTCGTACTGCACTTTCAACTAGACTTCCCCGATCTGCCTGTTGGTGGTGTTTTTGTATCGCAATGGAAGCCGATAGGGAAGTCTCACAAAGCTAGGCGACATCTATCACCAGCGTGAAGCGCGAGTCGAGTTGAGCGCGACCTTGGCCACTTAACAATCGATTGACGAAGACCAGCGGCAGCCGGTGTAATTTTTTTCAGGGGATAGTTTACAACAATAATATATTGTTATAGCGTTTTCATTTTCTATGTCTCGAAGACAGAATAACTTATTATTCTTGCGTATTCATAAACAAAGTGGTAAACAATCTTGTCAACTTATTAACTACTGTCTCAACTAGAGTTCCATGTGCCAAGAATCAGTGGTAGAACTGAACGATGTTTTGACCTACCAACACCGAGAACCAATATGTTGTTCAAGTCTTGCTTATTCGCAATGTGCTATAAATTAAATCAAGTCTGTCAGAAAGCAAACAAATATTCAACACCGTTGAACATATTCAAAAAGGAGATACACGTTCATCCCAAAATTGTATACTGTGTCCTGTAATTGGCCTAGTGTCCGTTTGGTCAATGAAAGTTTTTTTTAAATTGCCCTTGTTATTGAAAGATCACTAAAATACAAAATGTGTCTGCAATTGATGCAATACACACTTTCAATCATTCACAAATACTTCTAATTTATGTATTAGAACAGTTTCAAATTGATATCATTGAAATTTTTGCTTTGTAACACATACATTACTTGTTTTACTTTTTCTCTGTAGGTCTCGATTGAAAGTGTAACCTTTTCAGGAATTATTCCATCATAATGAGAGAAATTTTGGCAGGATGGGTATTTCTACCGCTCATGGATGTACTTGCTGATCCAAATATCATAAACTCTTTGGTCATACTGGCAATCACTTATAAACCAAAGAAGTCACTGAAGAGCGTAAAGAATGTAGAAACTGTGGAGTTCCTGCATAACTATGCTCTGAGCAACGACAAGAAAACGTCATTTGCTACAAATCTGAACAAAATAAAAAACAACACCGATTTGCTATACGCATTCATGCAGTTTTTGAAAAAACAGGATCATGTCAATCTATTGCAGTTCTGTCTGGATGTAGGTGAGTTTCTCTCACACATTTTATAATTTCACACTTGTGTGATCTTCAAAACATTTTTTCATTTCTTACTAAGGTTGAGTAACGTACTATTTTGTTTTTGTCTACAAAGATATCTACTGTCCTTTTAGTTAATTTCATTCCAATCACCTTTAATGCATTAGTACATTTTGTAGCTCAAAACAAAGTGCATGAGAATTCAAAAGTATGATTGCATTCAATTTTTTTATTGAGCCGTTCCCTTTTTCCAGATGATTTTAATAATAAGCTTTTAAACCCTGAATTATCGAAAAAGCAATTGGAAAATTTACATGCCGATGCCCTGAAACTGTACAAGGAATATTTAGACAAGGATAGTTACAGTTTCATAGGTTGTCTTTCCGAAATTTCAGAAAATTTCGGCTTCTTGATGCAAGAGGTTTACAGCATCGAAAAATTATCAAAGTTATCCAAGCTATTATATGCTGCCTATGATTATACATTCAATATTTTAGAAAATGTCTGGTTGCCTCAGTTTTTCCACAGCACAGAGGTAAGAGGTGGACATAACATAAATAGTATTTTTTTTACTAACTGAATCATTTTACAGTTTTATGGCTATATTTGTGGCTCAAAAATGATTCCAACTTTCACAAAACAGCTTTCAAAGTAGGTAGCTCTTGATTTATATATTTTTAGATTTGTTTTAAGTTCATATTGTAGTTGAAGTTACTAATATTTCACACTCTTGATCTTGGATAACGTTGGGAACATGTTTAACTCTGCAAAGTTCATCTAATAACGTTCAAATCTAAAGAAATAAACTTTAAACGTTCAAGCCAGTCTCGGATATACCTACACAGTAGGTTGAATGGAATGACGCCTATCAGAAAACAACTACTCCCCTGGCTAATACCACGAAGGGTGTTGGATTATATCCGATAGGCGTCAGTGCAGGAATCTTCAAAGAAAATTTCCTGCATATGCAATACAACTGAAAGAGTCGACCTTCAATTTTGGAACGGACACACTTGCAGACCGTTTTCGGGCTAATTAGCCACTAATCAGTGCAAGATAGTGGCCATCATCGACCTAAAGTCAATGATATCCATGAATTCTTTCAGAGTATTTCATTCCTCTTTCTAAGTTGGAGCAAACAACAAAATGTCACTCCATCTAGTGGACGAGGTACTAATCAACTGCATATCCGAAATTTGCCCGGTTCCACTAAATAAGGAAGAAAAACTTTCTTGTTAGTCAGTGGGCAATGCTTGAAGACTGGCAGTAAACAAATCCAAAGAAATGAACTTTAAACGTTCAAGCAAGTCTTGGATATACCTACACAGTAGGTTGAATGGACTGATGCCTATCAGAAAACAACTACTCCCCTGGATAATACCACGAAGGGCGTTGGATTATATCCGACAGGCATCAGTGCAGGAATCTTCACAGCCTTCAAACATAGCCCACTGACTAATAAGAAAGTAATAACGTTCAAGTTGAAATTTTCTTCAGTTATACACAACTATTTTCTAGTTTCAATGCGGTTAAAAATCTAAGATCAACTGTTTCATGGCACAAAGTATTATACATCGCTTATTAACATTTTACTAACCTCCAGATCGACAACCTTACCTCATGGTTCTCCAGTCAAGGATAGGTAAGTATCTTGTTTATGGTGCTTTTTCAAAATCAAAACACTTCAGATCAGTTGGATCCTTCGTATTTTAGATCAAAAAAATACGACTCTATGAGCCAGGGAAACGTTTCAAAGCTAACTTCTGGATTGGGAAAAATCAAAGGCGTTTTGAAAACCAGTCAACCCATCGAAGGTTCTTTCTTTCCCATAGAAAATCAAAGTGTGGAGAATGGTACGACAGATGAAATGTTTCTAGGAGACTGCAAAAGTCTCTTTAGGGATTTGAGCAGGTGGAAAGTATCGATTCCCACTTATCAGGTTTGTTGGGAAATGGTCCTACGAGCCGGATTGACTGATTAGAGTTTTATTTTTTCAGGGTAGTCCTACCAACAAAGTTATTTATTTTTATGTTAGTGTCGAGCGTTCAGATGTGCTGTCTGTGGAAAGTAAGAAAAATTGGGTCGTCTTGAGGAAGGATCAGGACTTTTACACGCTAAAATCGAAGTTGGTGGAATTCCACGGGGAGAGTGAAATTTGCGATTCGCCTTTGCCATCTAGAAAGTAAGTAACTCTCAGCTTTTGACAGATATTTTCAACTTCGTTTCAACAAAAATACACATTTTTTCAAGAGCTGGTTCTTCTATCGAGACTAGAATGACTAAGTATGAAGAGTTTCTGAGGAGACTTCTTCAGAAATCCGCTTTAAAAGGCAGCGACTTGCTTTACTACTTTCTGACAACAGAGGAGGACTTCACAATATACATTGCTCAAAACACGAACATACAGGACATAGGAAATATATATCAGTCAGTTGCTTATAAGCTGCGGAAAGAAAAGGGGCAGCATTTGGATTCCTTCATGGCTTCGTTTTTGAATGCGGCAGGAAAAACAAAGAATGAGTGAGGAGTGTTACTTGAAAATCAAGTATGAAAATTTGTTATTCGGTTATCTCAATTTTTGTACTTTTTCAGCAAATTAGAATGGGCTGAAATAGGAGAGGAACTGGACAACATTCCGTGTCTCAGTCACACTTCACGATTGCCTAAAACTTACCGTAATCAAGTTTTCAACGACAACTTTGGGGTACAGTATAAATGCTTGAAAGAAACCGCCAGTAGTTCTTTCAACCCAGAGGGATTGGCAGAAAGTGTCTTTTATTTTCGTAAGTTCACTTCCTATATTCGTAAATTTTTCACAATATCAACTTCTGAATGAATCCAGACAGTTTTGTCCAGTTACTTGTTTTCAGCAAAAGCTGCAGAGAGGCGGAAAGCTATTTTGTGGCCAACGTTGAAGCTTAGCTTCACAACCAGACTGTCAAGAGAAACAATTCTTTAATAAATTGTCAATTTCTCCAAACCTTCAAGTTCGAAGAAGCTTTCAATGTTCAGGTTGTATGTACAGAGTGTTAACGTGAATACTGATGGCTTATGGAAATCAGTATGAGCAGCAAACCACGTAACACAACAAACGTTCAACCAGACAAGTCCAAGTACGTGGTCAACGGCTTCAGGAGCCTAGGCCATGTTTACTGTGTGACACACTTCTGTTGGAGTCAACGAATAATTTGGCGTACTGCGCCTTAAAGGAAGGAAAGATTATGAAAAAAAGAAGAAGAAGAGAACAAATAGATAAAGATCACTGCCCTCTGTCAAGTTCACAGTCAATTACCAATATACCTTTTCAAACCGACAAGCTCAACAAAATGTCGAACAGTTCACTGATGATCCCTCAAAATTCGTCCGACAGACGAATTTTCACAATCAACCTTACCAACTGTCTGTTCAGACCTAATTTTCAAATCATCTTAACTTTATTCTGAAATATATTTCCTTGCTTTTGAACACGTTTATTTCATTTCAGTGAAACATGTGTTCAAAGTTCACAATGGATTCTTAAAAATTTACGCTTCCATATGCAGCGTAGCTCAACATATAGTGGATACCACGAGTCGTATAATGATCGAAAGAACTTTGAAATCGAATCTCAGCCAATCCAACTTGGCATATCTCATCAGATTATTAGAAGGTGAGAAAATTTTTAACCGGTTTTCCTTATCAATCAGTAGTATATGCTTTGATTAGTGAACCATATGAGATAAGTATTTGGAACACATTTCATTTCAAAGTGTCACGTTTTTATTCAACTAAATTTCAAAGAGACCAAACAAAAAATAATACAATGAAAACGACTTTTCAAACAGCAAATAAAACTCCAAAATGGAAAATACAAACATCAACTAAATATGACAATTGACACTAATGACAAATACAGAGAGTAGCCAACTTAGAAAAAAATACCTACATGTGTTTCAAAGAAAATCCTTATTTGATATGTTCGATTCTGAAATATATATCGAAGCTAGTTTCTACATTTTGTCACCAGAAGTCGTTTTCAACCCTCACGTAACCCCTACTAAGGAGGAACTGAAGCAGAGGCAGGCCAGAGCATTTGAAGAACTGAATAATTCTGTGCCTCATCTAGTCACACAGATTTTCGGTAGTGGAGTTAAAGAAGGACTGAAAACCTTGCTGGAGATTATGCAGAATGCTCACTTTAATAAACAGGTGAGGCTGCTGAAACTGAAAACGGTTTCATGTTGATAGTTATTATTTTATTTCCAGTTGGCTTACAATTTATTGGATATTGTACTGCTCGAAATGTTTCCCACGATGGATGGTAAACTTGAAAAATAATATCGAGAATCTTTCGGTGACGTATAGGTGATTAATACCAAATTTGTTTTACTTATTTATTTATGTGTAATACTTTCATATTTTTTAATAAAATGTTTTCGTTAAACTGAACATATAAATAGTCCTACTCCATTATGACAATTCGGGTTTGACATGCACCCTAAGGAGAACATAGTCCCCCTGCCTCCATGTGATTGTTCCTGGGTTATGATGAATTTGGGATTGATGAGAGCGTAAATTCCTACTGCCGGAAATAACTATGTCAAATTTGTTTTTCGTTTGCCGTGGTCTGTAGCTTCATATGCCTTACGTTTCGTCTACAACTGCCGTTTGCATCAAAACTTTGAGGCAACGGAAAGTGAGATTAAGAGGTTAACACTGGACATTAATACATATTTCAACTTAATACTTTCCGCCCTTTTCAATTCCGAATTCACACCCAAAGAAGCCATTATTAAAATTTCACAATAGTGTGTTTTTGACTTTGTTATGGATTTTCATCAAGTATCAGCCAATAACATCATATTACTTTATATACTGTTTGATTTTATATCATGATAATCTAAATGAGGGCCCAGAATAACCTTTCCAGCAAATTCATTTCTAAATTTACTCTATAATATACTTACTCAATGAGTCCTGTTATGTGATAATATAGACCTTATTTACTGGCCTTCAGAAAGATAAGACTGCTTTATTGGAAAAGGATGGAATTTTAATGATTTATTTTCCCCCTCAAAATATAAGAAAGATTATGAAAATATAATAATTTGAGTTACATAGTACTCTGTCCTTCAGTCTTTCTAATATCCAAAAATTATTGTTGTAAATCATGCCCGAGAGAAAATAACGCCGGCCGCCACTGGTAACCATAAACCAAACGTGACGTAGCTAAGAGCGCGCGAATGTACGATGATTCCCCACCACTCTAGTAACAGCGAGAATAATGCTACCGACTTCTACGGAACTTCGGCGAAATTTCTACGGCATTCGATTACGATATTTAAAGGCTAGCCACAAGGATATTGAGACAGTCAAGTGGACGTTACAGTGCGGTACGCGAAGTGACTTAGTAAGGCGATAGACACTCAAATAATATTTGAAGTGTTTGTTGCATTTAAAGTGAAATAAAGTTAAGTTTGATTATTCAGTGTAGTCAATTATTGGTCAACCAACGGGTAAAAACGTAACATTATATAGTCTATCTACAGTATAGGCATCAAATTTGCCTCTCCTCCTAAAGGTTGTGAAAATGGAATAAATCAAGTCACATATTACTTTGTCCTTCAGTCTCTCTCTTTCCGATATCCAAAAATTATGAAATCTATCTATGGTATTGGTCACATAATCAAACCTGCATACAGGAGTTGATTTTTCTCATTGCAGTATCAAAAGAAATAAAAAAACCAAGAATTATATAAATATTTTAATTAATTAAGGTCCCTATCTTCTAAGTATTTATATTCAAAGGTGAATCCTTCCTTTTTCCTCTGTCCCCATTTTTCATAATCAAAATAAATATACGTGCCCTGAAAAAAAAAGAACATAAATTCGTTACAGGAATGTTGTAAGTGACTGAAAGAGCTGCCGCAGGCAATTTTAAAATAAATTATACCATGACCTAAAAGAATAGAAATATTTATCAAAATCCAAATTTAACACCCTCAGCTGAGAAATAATGTACTGGCTGAACAGTTCTGGCAGGTGAAGCCTAGAAATTTCTTTTGAAATAAATTTTGAAAGTAAGTAACATAAACCTTACAACTCATGAGAGCTTCAGGAACGTAACATTGACACATAAACTATTAGCAATGCAAGAACAGTAAAATGCCCATAAGATTCCAAGAAATTAGGTGCAATCTTTATTTTCAATGGTTCCATTTGACAAAGGCAAGTGGTCCAGATTGCATTTGAAAGAAATAATTTTGTTTTGCTTATATTACGAGCTAGAAAATTTGAATCACACCAAGACTTTACAACTGTTATGTCTCTAAAGTCTATCCAAATCCAAGAGAGAGTAAAACAAAACAAAACCGAAGCGTGATGTTCACGTGATCGCCCAGTTTCAGATGGAAAGGGCAACGTTCATTGGTGAATTCGCCTTCTTGGTACGAGTTCGGTACCAGCACAGGGTTGTAATCAGTCGTTTGTGTGGCGTGCGTTATAGTATATTGTTTAAAATTGTTTTCCAAGATGTCCTGTACAGACACTGCTGATGACACTGTGAGCTATCCTCTGAGTCCACCCAGGAAACGATCCAAAAAAAGACATTTGAGTGTTGAGATGNCAATGAAAATCTTTTTATATTACACATATTATCTGCATTTTTTCCGTTAAACTGCAAAACTTGTGCATTTCACTCGTTATTATAAAAAAGTTTTCCTAAGTATGATATAGCATTTGCGATCAACAAGATGTTGGTTCTGAATACGACCCTGGCTAATTTTTGGATATCACGTGCGTAGGGCATGTCAATGTTTACATCCACTCTATCTTGGATTTGAATTTGCTTTAGATAGATAGATAGATATGGTATCGTCTGCAAAAAAAGTCAGTTTACCAGATATGCCAACACATACATTCGATTAGCAATTTCTTAAACTCCATCTACACGTTTCTCTACAATCATAATAACCAAATTTCAATGATTGATACTAGCATCATTCGATAAAACAATTGCCTGCGGCGACCTATCCCGAACCGACAGGAAGCATTGTTCGCATCGGAAGCCATACTAACCTGTTCGTATTCTTCATTTATGATCTTAGGTTCTTCATGCCTCTGAAACCACATCATGTACTTCGTGTGGAACCTCCAGCTTTGTTTCTTGAGCGCCTTCGCGGCCAAATATTGCGCCTTCGTGCCCTCCATGTAGTAGAAGACGAAGAAGAGGGTTTCCGTCGCGAGTCTCTGATAAAACTCGAGGCTGTCGGAATGCGCCAACGGGCTCTGGATGTAATAGGCGGGTGTTGGGCAGGGAGTTCTCGGTAAATACCTTGAATGAATTGTCATTGTTCAATAGTAGGATCAAAGAAAAGAGGTGGTGAAACACCAATAATGAAACCAAATAATTCATCAAAATTTTTACGACTTTCAAGTTGTTATTTCTCCATTTTACATATTTTCTTGCCTGTCTCTCCCCTTCTCAGTTCAAGGTTAGCTGCCAGATTCTTTGTCCTATTTTTAACGAAATTTACAATAACAATATAGTATCTGGCACCTTAATTGACAATAAACCATTTTTTTTGCTTCTTTTTCCCACATGAATTGTCTGTACATTTTTGAAAACGTTTCAATTAACTTCAAAGCTCCCATTATTAGGAAGTATCATAAATGAGTTCTTCTTATATAAGGCAAACCTTTTAGCAAACTAAAAAAATAGTCTCTGATGAAGAAATAAATCTGAGCGGCATTTATCGTCCTCAAACAAAAAAAATCATAACAAGGGGCTTGTTTCATGCTATCTTTGCTAACTATATCAAACAAAAAAATCGTAATTTCAGAAAAATACCTCTCTAGAGTGAAAAATTGTCAGGGAATTTTTTATTTACGGAACTGGCAACGTTGCAGGGTTATTTATGGAACTGGCAACATTGCAGGCGGTGGTTCCAAGACACCAGTGCAAACTTATCGTGAAAATACAGTATTAACTAATCACTATAAACACCATAGTAATCCAACAGCCAATACATCATCTATGGAAACCCAACAAAATGGTTTCCCAAAAGTGGGTCATCGCAAAACCTCCCTGATACGCCCACCTCCAAAAGAGAGTCTTTCTTCTTCTCAACAACTTCACTGCAACCTGGCAACAAGATGGGAATCCCTCCATCATTGATATTCGTGGGTTTGAGTTACCATATATGGCGTTTATGTAAAAGAATATATCATGACTTTTTTTAAAATAAAACCGTTCAAAATATCCGAGTTGTTTGTTCCTTGCATATGATTATGTAGTGGAAAGGTAGTTCTACTTCCAGTAACATATTAAACGTTAAATCGCCCAAAACATGCTAATCTATTGAATATTCTGTATATCTATACAGACAAAAAAATTGAATCTGGTTTGAAACAGAAATAAATTACCCAATTAAGCTTTTATAGCAATACATGTGTTAGGTTATGTTTTGCCATAAATTATAGGTTCGTTCCAACCTTGAGTCACAAACAGATTTCCAACTGTTTGTAAATCGTTGACAACGCGCATGTCTGGTAAATATTGGTTTCTGATTAATTTGAAATTTCTGATTGGAACAGCTGATAGTTCAACTGAACTTTGGCATGGAATTTCAACATAACCTTTAAAAATAATAAAATAAAATCAAAAGAAACAACTGTTGTAATACCAAAAAACAAACAATATCCAAAATGATAAAAAAAGATGAATCAATATAGGAATGTTGAAGAAGTAAAAGATGAAAATAGAAAATACAACAAGCAATTTGATAAATTAGTGTAACGAAAATATCAGAAGCTCAAAATAAAAGAAACAAGTTTAAAAAAAAATACCGAAGAACAAAAATATTCTGAAAAAAATCAGAATATGAAAAAGTTGGGAATAGAAACAGAACTCAGAATATGAGATATTTGAAGAAGTATAATTTGAAAATAGAAAATACAACAACAACTAATCAAAAGTGTGTCCAAGTAAAATGCTATAAACGACCAACAACCATATAATGAGAAGAGAAAAAAGTTATAGAGCCAGTAAAATATAAAAAGAACACGAAATTCAGAACAATTTCGAATAGAACGGAAATGTGAAAGATAAATAAAAAGACAAAAGCGAAAAGATTATGAGGAAATAAAAAACACATTAAATATAAAGAATTGTTAAAGTACAGAATGACATAGAAATATACACACATCGGAAAAGTCTAGGGATATTTTTAAAAATGGCAATAATTTTTTTTAGATCGCTTTAGGGAAAAAAAAGTTTACGGGTGATTATTAAACGAATGTAACTTACAATAAAATTTATTAAATGGTCAAAAATACTGAGTGCGCATATAAGCAAAACTAAAAAAAAAT